AAAAAAATTTTTGGATGACTGTGTACTGTTTGTTACACAAATATACATTTTCAAACAAACCATTTTTCATATTCTTTTGACATTCACTTGTGAAGTGGAAAGAAAACCATACAGTTCATAATCCTATTGTCAGATGATTCGCTTGCGAATATTAGCGGCGTTTTTTGATTTGAAAGTTTGCAAGTAAAGATTTATAGTACAATATAAGATCAAGGAAAGAGTCTTTCATTGATTTGAAAACCAAAAATATGTTATTCTGAAAGCATATCTGTTTCCGTAAACCTTATAGCAACGAATGCTCATAAAAAATTGTGCTCAAAAAAGCAGACAATGAGTCATAATAGTGTATTTCCGCTATTTCATTGTATTTATGTGGGTTTGTTTTTCATCCTTTACTTCTTCAAAATATCTCATAGTATACAACAGTTATCCTAATAGTTGATACTAATTGTCAAGAAGCAATTTTTAAGCTCGATAGAACTAACAATTACAACATTACGTACCGTTGCGATAGATCAGGGTATTTCATGGTATCTTTTGATGAACCCCAATTTTGTGCAAGTGAAGGTTTTATACAGGAACAAATTTACTCTTTTGTGTGTGCACTTTCAGTGATAACGCGTAGCAAATATTGGATGAAACATTTATGAGCGTTTATAAAAATGTAATTGTACATAGGTAATGCGTTTAGGGTCACTACAGTTTTTCTCACATCATTACTTAGTAGCTAATTGCCTCGATGCTTTAGTATAGTTGCTATGTTTTTACTTTGAATTTTCAAGTTTAGGATACAAAGTTCAAAGCTTTAGCTCAAGGTGCTAAGAAGATTACCGGTCTAGTTCATTTACATGAAAGAGGACAATTGAATTACAATCATTTTAATGTCAGGCCTCAAGGAGTCATCCCCATGTAGATCGCGTGCACTTTTCAAAGACTTCTTTTTCTCCTTCACATTACAACATTTTGACGTGTGTTGGAGAGTACTAATAATTTGCAGACACTTCATAAATATTTGCTTTGCTTTAGGGTTACGTAAGTAAGAAATAACTCGCCAAACAGTGGATGAGCGGTCAGCCGGGTCCCAGCGCTACATCGCCACCCGCAGAAGCTTCTCTTGCTCCAACTCCATCTGCTGTCACATCTACAACAGCTGCTCCTGCACCAGCTCCTCCTGCTCCAACTCCTTCTGCTGCCTCACCTGCAGCAGCTCCATCTGCTCCACTTCCACCTACGCCTTCAGCTCCTCCTGTTGCTCCAGCTCAAGCTGCCACTGCTAATGTTCAAACTACTGCTGTTCCTGAAACCCCCATAGCCAATGGAGTCGCCGCAGCTGGTCCCAATGGCGCCACCCAGCATGCAAATGGTGGACTACCAAACAATTCTTTGATGAACGTTGTTGGAAGGACTAGCTTCATAGCAAAGGTGAGTGATTAGAATTTCTTAACTAGTTCTATAGAAGAAGCTTCTCGTCCCAACATTTGCTGATTGGAGAGCCTCAGCTCATGTAAGCCCATGCAAATCCGTTTTCCAGTAGGCTTAACACTCGGTGGGATTTGCGAAATCAAGACGTGATTGCTATCCCGGAACTCGTTTAGTTGCAAGGAAACGCTTGCTTCAAGCATATCCAAATTTGGAGATGTGATTCCAAAATTTTAATTCCTAAGTTCTAATTTCCCGTAGCTTATAACACGGCTGATGTGTATAGATGCGCGAAGATGCTCGATATCAAAATGTGACACTAAAATCAAAAAACAAGCAAGCTCGAGGCAAACAGTGTCCATGAAAAAGTGGCAGGCGATAAATTCGAATGAAGGAAATTTTTTTAGGGCAACTTCTCTTGAAAGAAAGCCTACAGAGTTCTAAGAAATTTATCTAGCTCTAAACGCCAAAGTCT